GAAAAATCACTGCCATCCAGCATCCCTCAGCAACCCTCTCATGATCTTGAATCTCTACAGGCATCCCTCAACGATCTTCAACAACAGATCAAGAACCATCATCTCACCAAACCCTCTTATACTCCCCTAACCCAACTTCTGGACCCTTGAAATTGACCTCGACACTGTCCAAGCACTCATCCTACAATCCTATGGCAGTCTTGATGACTTCATTGCGCATTGCTCGGTTCTCCCTGTGGTCCATAAACCCACCACCCCACGCCCTGATATCGATGCCATCACCCTCACCAAAGAAGCATTCCTCTCTCGCATTCAAAAACGTCAGGCAAAGATTGATGACTTCAAGGGTCAACTAAGAGACACTGATGCTCGCTTCAACGAGGTTGATCAACAACTTACCTCTCTTAACAACACACTTAGAGACCTCAATGCTCATGTCGTCTCCAATAAACCTAATGTCTCCATTGATCAGGTCACAAGGTATGTTCAGATGATACAATCCGACTATGGCCGCACTAAGGTCTCCGAGGCTAAGAAGAACATCAAGCGCCTACAGAAGATACTCGACAAGTTCCAAGAATACCATCAGTCTATCCAACAGGATGAACAAGAACTACAGCACCTGCGAAAAGAGCTCTCCGTCTTTGAAGATAACAAGGAATACGAATACAACCCTAATTGCACCGTCTGCCGTTCTAAACCCTGGGTCGCACGCATCGCTGAGCTCAAGAACAACATCAAGGCCATTGAAAAGGTTCTCAATAAACACCAGACTGCCTTGAATAAGTACATTATGAAATATCATGAAGAGGACACTCAAGATGAACTTGAACAGCTACAGGAATGGCTCGATCAATACGATGAGGACAAGTACAAGTCCTATTGTAAGCTACAGAAGGAATGGGACGAATATGACAAGTGCGCTAACGAGATCGAAGATACCAACCACAAGATCCTCTCCCTACAGAACGATAAGGATGGGTTGAGGGCTAAACAACAGCAGCTCCAAACACAACTACAAGAATCTAAGGACAGGCTCTCCAAATATCAAACCATGGTTGAAACCATCGATCTCGCTCAACAATGGGATGATTATGACGAGTTTGTCTTGTATCACAAGCTCCTCCGTGGCCGCTTCGAGAAACAACTCGATACATGGAAACGCACCTTCTTCAACCTTGATTCCAAGCTTAACCTGGTGAATCGGGATATACAGTCCGTACATGCCTGGAACAACTATGTCGCCAATGTCATCCCTAAACAGCAGAGATTGGATAAACTCAAGGCGCAATACCACGATTGGGAGGAGTACCGGAGGCTACACTCTATCGTCCTCTCTAAGACACTCATCGAGGACATCCTGCCCACTCTTGGGGCATTTGAGACGAGGCTTGAGCTCCTTCACAACATCAAGAAACAACAGAAGCTTAACCTCAAGAAACAGATTGACCTGGCTCAGAACGCATTCAATGAACACAACATCTCCCACGCACGCCTTCAAGAACGCATCGAGACACACAACCGCCTCAAGGAACAGTACTTCATCACCTCGAAGGCCTTTGAAAATGTACAACAGGATGCTAACCTCTTGAAGATCATTGTCAACAACTTCAAAAATTATAAGAGATGGATATATGATACTCACGTCCTTAATCATATTGTATCATTCACTAATCAGATCATCAGATACACCTGCCATCGTGATACCGCCCCCTTCTCCCTTCATTACACTATTGGCAATGAATCCTCGAAAACTAAGACGACCACCAATGAATCCTCCGCTAGATTCATCGTTCATTGGCTTATTAGGAGCTCCTACGATCATCCTGGCACACATGATGGCAATCTTATATCCGTCCTTAACGCATCCGGATTCCAAAATTCATCATCTCTGTCGCTCTTCGCTTGGCATTCACACGCTTTCATAATTATATGCCCTGTAAGCAATTCATGATTGATGAAGGCTTCACCAGCTGCGATAAAAATAACATCACCATGGTCCCACACTTCCTTCGCAAACTATTGCAATTCTATGACTCCGTCATCCTCGTCTCACACATTGAATTCCTCCTTGAAAATGTTGACGAATCCATCAAGATACATCGCACTCCCGATAATCTCTCCATCATTCAATGCGGTAACTCCATCACACTCTAATCTTGATCTTACCCTTATTTCACACATTACTATGTTTCTATGTTCCTATATTTTTATTTTTTCACATCCTTCTTCCACCATCCCTTGATCTTATCTATAACATGTCCATGGGTAATTCCTACATTACATCACCCACGCCTTTTTCATATCCTCCTTGACAATATCCTTCATCTAACATGTCCATGGGTAAATCTTATCTATTACATATCCATGGGGAAACTTATTCGTACACTCCCATGCCATGGGTGATCTTATTCGTATCCTCCCAATGCCATGGGAAGATCATATCGTACCCTCCCATACCATGGGTGATCTTATTCGTACACTCCCATGCCATGGGTGATCTTATTCGTATCCTTCCAATGCCATGGGGAAACTTATTCGTATCCTTCCAATGCCATGGGGAAACATGATCATCTCCTACACAACACATATCCATTTAACACTTTCCCGTATATATATATATCTATATCAACTCTAATATGATTGACCTCACACTCCTACATGATGATATACTCTCCAATATCAAACTTAAGCACTCCATCGTCTCTAAACTATATCTCACCATCCTACGCGCCACTCAACATAACCCTCACATCCTACTCAACTACCGTACCTCGATTTCAGGTTCCACATCTCTGACCCTCACTCCATCCACTTCCTACATAATCCTCTCTCTCTTGATCTACACCATCTCATCATCCTCACATTACAATACTCATCCAATCACTCACTCCTCTTCCCTTATTGGTCCTGCTTCGATCAACCCTTCCCCCTTAATAAAGACTCTCGCTCCAGAATCATTCAACTTAGATACTCCTTCTACGCCCATCTCTCACAACTCTTTCTACTTCAAATCTGCTTCTTCAAAAAATCACCGTGACGATAAACTCCTCTGGGAATTTTTACAACACTCATCTGACCCCTACCTACAAGCATATTGTCGAGGTTTCAGTGTACTCCTACTAACTCTTTATCATCCTATGCTATACTTCTAGTATTGACAATTGAGTGTCTGCTCGACCCCCTTTAAACAGCAATGACGTATATATATACCTTATCCAAAATAAGACCCCCTAAGCACTGAGACACCCCCCCCCCCCGATGTAGGGCGCCCAGCAGACAGTCTAAAACCTTACTATAACCCTTACCATCCTCGTAACAAAAATATATTGAGAATATTCAAAAAGTTTAGAAGTTTACTTTTTATATTCTATAAGAAAACTCCACATTGAAATGATAACATATTTAAGAAATATATTGATATATGTATTATATATCAATGTCAAACAAATTCAATAATCCAGGAGCTATCCACAAGAAATCTGGAAAATATTGTCCAGCAAAATTTGCCAGCAAGAAGGATGAATATATCTGTCCTGATTGCAATAAACCTCTTATTCTTCGTAAAGGCGATAAGAGAATCCATCATTTTGCTCATTTCAAGGAAACGGATCCTTGTACTTACTATAACTGTCCCTCTGAATCACAGGTTCATAAAGATGCTAAATTAGCAATCAAGCATATCCTTGAAGAAGGCATCCCTTTCACACTGTACAGGAAGTGTTCGGATTGTAAATCCATACTATATGACTTGGATATTCCTGAAGTAGATAATTCTTTTGTTCACCTTGAACATCGCTTTGAATTTAATGGAGCAATCAAGATCGCTGATGTGGCTCTCTTGAAAAGGGTTCAGGACTCCATTCACATTGTTGCTATATTTGAGATCTATAACTCACACCTTACTGATGAGTCTTCCCGTCCAGAACCATGGTTTGAACTTGATGCTAAATCTATCTTACAAGCCATTGATAAGCCTGCCAAACAATTTCAATGTATTCGTAAAGCAATGTGTCCGAAATGCATATACAATAAGAACATTGAGCAAATTGACCATTTATTACAGTCCTTCATTTGGCATATTTTAAAACATTCCTAAAACATGATCATTGTGTTGATATTGAATGTCTTGTTAGAGTTATTATAGAACAATCCGAATTTGTTCCAAAATTTCAACAATATTGTCACTGTAGTTGTAATAACAACAATCCACACCATTTATGTTTTAATTTTGATGCTCAAACACATGAAGAAGCTCTTATGAATCAATCGATTATTGACCTTTTTCATCCACTATTTAATCAGTTTCATGTTGTCATTTCATCAAATCAACATAGAATATATTGCTTTATTCTTACAAATGATCACTATAACATATCTGACTATTTTCATGTTCTTGATCATTGTCAATACCCCTTTCATATGATGATTGATTTCTGTGGAAGCAATACCGTTCAAATCATTATGAGCATACTTACAGTTATTCATCATTTGTTGCCTAGAATCACATCTTTGACACAGATTCAAATGGATTCTAACTATGTCATTAAACATAATGTTTCTTGTCAATATCTCTCAAAACCTCTCGCTGATTTTATTTTTATACATAATGCATGCATTATCTTGAATAACAAAAATTGGAATTATACAATTTCCAACGATGAAAAAGGATTCTCCATTCTTATATCTCATCCTCTTGGTGAAGTTCTATACATATATCTTGTAATTATATAGATTATAAGACACCAACCTCCAAATTCAAAAAACGCATTGAAATTAAATATATTTCTCTTCAAGAAGATCTTGATTATTGGTATCAGAGTTCCGGCAATGACGCCTTTCAAAAGTTTTATTTTGATTGCAATATTTCATATGAAGATAGAGTCTTGGCTCTTGGAGCTAAATGGAATCCTCAAATTAAAAAGTGGAGTATTATAGATACTGTATCTAACCGGCGTCGTGTCTCACAATGGATATCTTCCTAAAAACCTTCACTATACCACCCACCCTTAACCTATCACTTATGGCTTCATATATTTCAAGAATTACAAACATGATCTTGGTGCTAAATGCAAGTCGATCACATTATTTCCTCCTTTATCTACCCCCTTGCCCTAATTTCACACAGGTTGTACTCTCATACAAAAGGTTCCCTCCTCACTACCTCGTCCTCATACATCCTGAAAAAATACCTCCTTTAGATCATACAATCTTCGCTAGCATGTCTTTTTTCTCATTACTCTCAACTGTTTTTAGTATCTCTCTACTAACACTTTATCATCCTATGCTCTCCTTTTGGCATTGACAATTGAGTGTCTGCTCTACCCCCTTTAAACAGCAATGACGTATATATATACCTTATCCAAAATAAGACCCCCTAAGCAGACACCCCCCCTCCGATGTAGGGCGCCCAGCAGACAGTCTAAAACCTTACTATAACCCTTACCATTCTCGTAACAAAAAATATATTGAGAATATTCAAAACAATCACTGCGCTGCTTATTTAAGAATTAATCAATATGCATTACAAACATGTCTTGTAATGGCGATGGATCTTGTCTTATACAAACAACCTCATCTAATTATTATACATGCCAATTCGATTGTGTCCATAAATGCAAACCCATACAATGTCCTAATTTTATCGTATGTGATGTCATTGCTCCATTCTGGCTTTTTAATATACATGGTGGATTGTGTATGGGTTGTAATATGACACGAAAAGGAATACTCCAAATTCACAATGATCGTGAATGTCCAATATGTCTTGAGATTACAAAATGTGTTTCTCAACCTAATTGTGATCATTCAACATGTTTAAAGTGCTTCAAACGATGCTATTTTGGCAAAGAAATGCCTTCCTTTCCAATCCCTGAATTAGAAGAAGAATATTATAATGATTTTGATGATAATAACTATCAAAACAATACAAAATGGGATCCTTTTAGACAACAGATTGATGAATTTGAATTGATGTGTGAACGGATTGAAACAGAGAATGTTAATGAAAATATTCTTAATAAATGTCCATTGTGTCGTAAATAGAATATATTTGTGTGATGTTTCTTTCTACAACACTCCACATTTGAACAAGACTGGATCGCATTTCATCAAGAACATGCTATCCTTCGCCCACTATGTTCTCATCGCAATCTCTCTCGACCCAAAGTCACTAATTTGCTTTGAAGCCTTTTTATATGTTCTCCCTTCTTTTTTGAGTTCTCCTACTGACACGTTATCATCTTATGCCATGTTTCTAGCATCTTTTAGGGGTAGTCACTTCTCTGATTGATGTGGACTGTTATTTTAGCCTTACGATTGTTGTAACAAAGTTTTTGAGAAAACTCCATAAAGTGTTTGTAAATATTGTTTTTTATTTCAGCCTGACGGCTCTTGAAACAAAGTTTTTGAGAAAACTTCACAAAATGTTTATGAATGAAAAATGTTGTTATACAGTTCTCCAACACATCATATTTATCAAGACGCAATCTCAATAACTCCATATGGTGCTTCATATTCTCACAATCAAACATATATCTTGTACAGTTTATTCTTTTCTTGGTGCCATTCTCTTCTCTTGTAATCTTGTATTTTTCACACGTGATCAAACCCTCCAATCTCTTCCTTATCGCCTCCGCGATCTGTTTGTAGCTCAGACTCTCCGCCGGCACATATGTTGTTATCCTCGGTTTGGCAAAATTAGGCCTCTCCTTGTTCTCTAACAACCTGTTGTACTCCTCTATCTTCCTCAGCTTCTCTCGATTCACCTCTGAATCCTCTATCACCCACGCATCAAAATAATTCTTCGCATCATCCGGATCTATTCTTATCTTTCCTTCCTTGTACTTGCCTGTGTCCAGACACTCGAGATTGAAACAGTCCTTGTTCCCTAGATACTTCCTCATCATCTCCTTCGTTCTCCATGCTTCCATATAGATTGACATGTGCCCACTCATCGGGTTGTCCTCCGATATCTTCTTCTTCAGGATTGCCTCCAGATGCGATGATCTGTACATATAAGCCACCATCCTGTTGTGTTCTATGATTGGATCCTCCAACCTAGTGGCTTCATCATTCACATCGCTCTTCACCGATAGACCACCAATCAACAAATCCTTGTACCTCTCTATGTGCTCTCCTCTCTTTTCCTCTGATACATTCCTGAAATAGTTATTTATCTTGTTCTGCCATTGTTCCTCCTTTGATGTTATCGGCTTGGTATCGTTCCTGTTCAACATCCTTTCAAAATCCTCCGTTTCTTTCTTCACCTTGTCCTTCAACAGCACCTCTTGGACATTATCATCCTCCATGAACTCCTCTATCTCCTTCTCTATCTTTATGTTCCTCATCTTCAAGAACCTCATCACATCCAGCTTCTGTTGCATGAGATCATTCTTCTTTTCACGTCTTATCTCTCTCTCTTCCTTGTAATAGTTCTTATAGACCACCATCCCCAATCTCTCTAGATTCTTGATATAGTAGTGCTCATAGTTAAGCATCTGGGTGTCCTGACGATATAGGATCTTGATCAACTCCTTGTTGCCAGGGATGCTGTCCCTGTGACAGAAATTGTCATTGTCTATGTTCTTCATCTCTCGGTTTATCTCTATCATGTCCTGTGTCTTCTTCATTACACTATTGCATATGCTGCTATCGAACAACATCTCATTGTAGGTCTTCCTACAATCCTCTATATCCTTATGAACTGGCAATCCTGTGTAAATCATGTTCTCTGGTGTGAACTTGTAGCTGATATAAAAGAAAAGTGTCAGACATTTCCTGTTTCTTGCCAATTGCTGGACCTTTTGGTCTGGTGTGAGGGTCCTCGCAAAGGTTGATATACAGTATGTATTTATCGGTTGTTCAGGTTCTGTTAGGGGTTACGTAAGCGGTTACGAATACTTCAGTCAACTAGCTGTCTTATCCCGGTCGGTTTGGTTGGTTTGGTAGGTTTTGGTCGAATAAAATGGATCCGAACTTTCTATACGTTCAGTGAGCGCGATTGTGTTGAGGTTCCTGTTTGCTTGTTAACGCAAGTTATCAAGTTGGTTCAAGTTCACAGAGTCAAAGCACATCATCAGGATTGTCAATCCATAACATTGGTAGCGTAAGGTTTGGTTTTTGTTTGAAATAATTACGGATTACGACAATTTGTTTTGATCGCAAAGGAACTTGAAAGGTAACCTCTGGACACTGCATGCAATCGGATGTAGAAAGGATAAGAAGGTCTCCTGGAGATGGTCCTCTTGGAAGTTCAGGCTTGGCAGTCATGCTTGACAACTTCAGAAGGAGTTTCGATGAGGAAACGCCTGAAGACAAGACGATGAGGGAAGTTACGACGGTACCTTCTACCTCAGAAGAGGATCCGAACGGAAATCGGCGAGACGTCGCGGGATTTTCGAGGATTAATATACCTTCTTATCTCCGGCAGGTTCGACCCGGCCGAGGTTCGAATCAGTGCAGTTTGAAGAATTGGTCGCTGCAAACAAGAAGTTGCGAGAAGAATTGCAACTCGCAATGGACATGCAAGTAAAGTATGAAGCTTTCGTCAAGGAAGTGATGTTTCGTAAGGAAAGAGAGCTCGTCGAGACAAAACAGGAAATCTCTGTCCTTAGGGAAGAAAATAAAAAAATGAGGAGCAGTTCAATACCTTCCGATCAAGGAACCAGGAGGGGCTGATGCAACATGCAAGCAAAATAATGCGAGCATGTCGAACGACATGTCAAGTCAGCATGTCAAGCAGCAGTCTTCCCTAGTGAAGTTTCATTCCAAGGATATTTCTCGATTTAATGGAGAAATGACTGTTGCAAGTTGGTTTGGGGAGCTTGAGTTTCAATTCCAGCGTCAAAGAATCCCTCCAGATCAAAAGGTTGACATTGCTGCAACATTAGTTGGTAATCGTGTGAGGAATTGGTTGCAAACATTGCGTGGCGAGGATACAGATTGTGATAATGTCAGGACCGTACAAGGGAAGCAGTACTTCTTCAAGCCAAACTCAAAGATAAATAGTTCGATAAAGCCCTTTGGATCGAAGAAGCTGTTTGGCGGCATGATAGAGGTATTAGATGGGATATCATATGTATGTGAATACCCTTATCACAATCCAACCGTGATCTTCAAATCGGATACATTGTCGATCTCACCCAAAATATACTGCAAGTGCGACAACGACAAATACTCCTTCACCAGCAACGATTTGAATGATTCCCAAGTACCTTGTCGGGAAATTAATCTGCTGCCTCTTCACATTCCTTCAATATGGATCTCAATTCTTCTGATGGAGTCCCTTTATAGGTATCATCATCTATCCTCACAGATGTTCCATATATGGCCAGACCAGATATTGGTTTCTTCTTGATGACCTCCAAGGTGTTCTTTGTAACCTTACTTTGGGGTTTGCTTATAGTTGATGATTTCAATGATGTGTAAGGCTGTGTGAGACCTTTTTACAGTTCTTCACACAGTTGCAAAGGGATGACCGTGAATCCATAGTCATTCAATTGCTTTGAGAGAACCAAGAGATTCTCTTTCCGTTGTTGTTCATTAAATAAGATATCTTTCAACATCCCTTCTATGATATATATTACTATGAACATAGTCTTTATATGCGTTTTGACACACTCTCATTCTCCTATCTTCAGGCATTTGTTTGTGCTAATGCTTCCGCTTGTGCTCTCTTCTGCTCCTGATACCTCTCACGTCTTCTTGCTTTGATCCGTTCCCGTTTTACAGGGTCTTCATATTGCTTCCTGTTGCCTTCCTTAACTTTCTCTCTGAATTCTTCATCCGTTTTGTACCATCATTACGGTAACGTCTGAGATAGTCATTGATTCTTTCTCTAAATTCTGGATCTGTATTATATCGGTCTTGTTGTACTCCGCAATGTAATCATAAATCTCTTGTATTGTCCCATCCTCTTTTCTTCGTTGTAGATAAGCTTTGTTGTATTGTCTCATAGCTTCTTTCTTGTCTTCCGACATCCTCTTCTCTCTATATATTATACATTTTCTCTGTACAATATTCTATAAGACATTCTACATGTTTCTTTAAATACTATATAAGCATGTTGTGATCCAAGAATATATCAACTATTATCTATATAACGTTTGAAGAGGTCATATAGAGACTATATATGGATCTTGTACGAGGTATTGTGTCTGATTCATATAGGCCTTACCTCAGTGTTAGCGCGTCGACGGTCCGGGGCGCTTTCCCCGGGGTCTTGATAAAAATGATTGAATCAACGGTGTCAATATGTAAAAATATGTAAAAAATGCAATATATTGATTCACTTAGTGATCAAGTATTTTCTTGCAAGGAAAAGCTAACCGACAAAGAATTCAAAGATATAGTGGATACTTTATCCAAGATGAGACTACTCAGCACCTAACAATCTATATATATTTGAGTATTATGAGCAGTTCTGTCGTCCACAACTAGATGGTGAACATGGATGGAAGACCCGTATATGTTGTGAAAAGAAGAAGATACTTTGTCTTATAGAACAAACCATCACTCTAAACAGGATACAATATGCTCGGTAGTATACCTGTGCTCTCTGTATGTGAACAAGAGGATGAATATATCGGCACAAATTCTCGCCATCAAGAGCTAATATGTTTCAAGCAGATTGTCCCTATATCTATCAAACTTTATCAACAACCATCATAACACATAGATGCCAGCATTGTTTGTCTCTCTTAGTGTATCTTCAAAATCCTTTGTTGTTTTTTATTTTCTTCTTCATCCTCAACCATTATGTCTATATCAATTGGCAAACCTGTGTTTCTGCCATGTTTCAGGATCTCATATAGATTCAGGTTTTGGTCTATCATTGGATTCTTGTAATCTGTAACACAGAACTCCTTTGTGACTTTCTTTTTGGGATCATTTGCGTGAATATTCTTCTTGTCACTGCTTATAATGATGCTTGATCTTCCGAGAGGGTTCTCTTTGAAGAGTTTTCCATCCTTTATCTGACCATACCATTTCTTCACATGATCTGTCTTTTGTGACATTGTTTGATATGTTTTTTTAATTCAAATACTCATTTATATACAAATGGGTCCCGGGCCTGGGGCGGGCGCATCATCAGATCTGAGCCCAGCTTTTACTCATCTAAGTTAAGTTAAATTATTAGTTATCGGGCCTGTTGCTCTATTACGGGCCGACGGCTAGTACCCAAAGGTGGGGAGGGGGTTGTGCTGTGGAGGTTGTGGAGAGGGGGTGGGGACGGCGTGGGGACGGCCGTGGGGACGGCGTGGGGACGGAATCGGGAGGGGGTGGTGAAAGCGCCGGTGGGGACCAAGTAGGTGGGGACGGGGTGGGTGTCGGGAGGGTGGGGGGTGCCAGGGTCTATTGATACAGATGATGGCTGCAGGAGGGGTGGGAAAGCAAGGAAATTCAATATTTGAGCTACTAGATTAAAAGAACGACCCCTTGATCCAAGGCCTTGGAGAGTCCCGAGCTGAGGGAACAATGCTTATGCTCTCATGCATAGTTGGGATGAGGCCCCTCGATCTCTCCCCAGCCCCCATCCTCTTCTTCATTCTCCTCCTCTCCTCTTCTTCTTCTGTGCTCTCCTCCTCCCTCTCAGATCAGTCAGCCGATGCCGTCAGAGCGCTGGAGTGGGAGATCCGCAGCATCAAGCAGAGCCTCTCCACTACCCTCGAGGAGCTTCGAAGCCTCAACGCCTCTGTCACCTCCTCGCCGCAGCTTCCCTGGGGTAACCTCACCTCCAGCGTGGTTCGCTGCTCCCTCCCCTACAACTGGTCTCAGATCGTCAACAAAGAGGACGAGGGAAGAGTTCAGATCGGAGGCCTGGGCCACCTTATGCAGAAAGACAGGTTCCCCTCTCCACTAGCGCATCAGCAGATGCTGACATGCTTGCTGCCAGGTACGAGGTCTGGGTCTGCGACTACGACAACCGCTGTGTGCAGCAGGCAGGAGACGCCATGTGCTTCGTCTTCGACGAGGTGCAGGAAGTCTTCCTCCCGTGGGGTCTTGACTCGCAGCTCCTCCTCACGCAGGCAAGCAGCTGCCTGCGCTCTGACCTCTCCTCGTGCGCTGACCCTCAGCCTCCTCCAGCAAGGACCCTTCCAGCCCGACCTGGCCCTCTCCAACATCCTCGCCCAGCTCAAGGCCCTCCAGCAGGAGATCCGCTCGGGGGGATGCGGGGGGTCGTGCGTGAGCCAGCAGCAAGTGCAGCAGCTGCTGGACCAGTACTACCTGGAGCCCGGCTACCTGTGGAGCGCCGGCAGCTTCAGCGAGTGCAGCAGCCTGTGTGGCAGCGGAGTGGCGAGGAGAAGCATCACGTGCATCTCGAAGCTCCTCAAGCAGGTCGAGGACGTTCGCTGCTCCAACCGCTCGAGGCCTCTGGCGGAGGTTCCCTGCCTCAACCTCTCCCAGTGCTCCTACGAGTGGGAGGTCGGCCCCTACAGCGAGTGTCTCACGGGCTGCGGCCAAGGCCTTCGCCGTCGCCCCGTCTCATGCCGGAGGAGCGACGGCGTCACCGTCGAGGCAGCCAAGTGTGTGGGATCAGCTCCGGTCGGCGAGGAGGTGCTGAAGGATGAGCGAGCGAGCTTGCGACTGACGGCGTGCGCAGCCTTGCGCCAACTTCTCCTCCTGCTCCTACCGCTGGACCACCTCCGCCTGGGAAGCATGCTCCAGCACCTGCGGGCCTGGCTTGCAGTACCGGTCGGTGATGTGCGTGCGGTCGGACGGGGTGGAGGTGGGGGAGGGGATGTGCGAGGGGTCGAAGCCGAGGACCTTCCAAGCCTGCACGGGAGCGTCGGGCTGTAACTACACCCTGATCAACGAGTGCGCCGCTCACACCGACAACTGCGCGACCCACGCGAGCTGCATCGACACCTACTCGAGCTTCGAGTGCAGCTGCAAGCCAGGTAGCCCCTCCTTGCCTCGCCCCCAGCCGCAGCGACGCTGACGCGAGAGGGTCAGGGTACGTGGGGTCCGGGACCGTGTGCGAGGACGAAGACGAGTGCGTGACGCAGACAGGCTTGTGCGATGCGGGGAGGACGTGCGTCAACACGGAGGGAAGCTTCGAGTGCTTGTGCAAGGAGGGTGAGGAGGAGAGAGGCTCGCGTCGCCATCGCTCTGACGTCATCGTGCGGGGCCGCAGGCTTCTACCTGGACACGGCGTCGCCCTCGGGCTCCTGCGTCGCCTGTCCCGCGGGCCTCTACACCTCCGGGCTCGGGCAGACGTCTTGCAGCTCGTGCGCGCCCGGCTACTACGGGACCGCAGACAGCAGCTGCAGCGCGTGCCCTCCCGGGTCGTCGTCAGCGGCGGGAAGCCAGCGGGTGACGGACTGCCAGTGCGAGTACGGTGAGGGGGCGGGAGGCGCCTCCTCTCATGCGCAGGCGGCTGACGAGGCTTGTCCGCAGGCTTCTCCGGGAACATCTCGAGCACTGCCGACCGCTGCTCGCCCATCTTCTCCAACGTCGAGGAGCAGTCGCGCTGGCTCAGGCTGGGAGCGTCGGGCATGTCATGCGCTCAGACGTGCGCGGCAGAAGGGAAGACGTGCGTGAGCTCGGCGATCAACCAGATCGACAACGAGGAGGCGATGCGATCGGCCGTGCGGGCGGCGAGCATCGCGTCCGATCGACGGATCCGGGGAGCGATGACGGAGCCGCAGCAGAGGCCGGGGGGGCTTCACTTGCGGGTAAGCGCGGGAGCTCACGAGCAAGGAGGAGACGGACTGCAGGACCTGACGGCGAGCAGCGGGCACGTGAAGCGTCGACGATACGTAGAGCACGGGGCTACCAACTTCCCTCTTGTACCTCAGTCAGATCCTAACGCAGGGTCAGGTTGTTGTCGCATCACTCAGAACTTCTATGTGGATGTGCCGGTCGAGCTGCAGAGCTCGAGGATGATAACGGTCAGCGTAACCGTCGAGAATGCTAACAATTGGAAAGGCATCTGGAATGGTATCAGCTCTGATGGAAACGTGAGGGTCGGGGGCTATGAATGCAGCTTTATGAACGCACTTAACGGCTTCAGACCTTTGAGTCAGGTCCACTGCAGGCTTGAGATTCCAACACGACTCGCAGTCAATGCTGACGGTCAGATCGGACCCATCGCCATCTACTTTCGACAGGTACAAACTAGCGGGCTTGAGACATCGACGTGGAGGATCTCGGTCGGGGAGATGAGGGACGAGAGCGAGGAGCCTCTGAGGGTCATGTCGGATGGCAAGCTCAAGTACGTCAACGGCTCCTTCTATGATGTCGTCTCCTTCCCCTCCATGAGCATCCCGGGCCCTGTCTTCACCCTCTGCTCCATCTCTCGCTACAACGGCAATATGAGGAACAGAATCCTGCAAGCCAAAGACGAACAGTTTGTGCATGGTCACTGGTACGGAGGACAAGGACAGGCCTACTACGACCGCTCTTGGGCCCTCAAGCAGGACCTGAGCGCGACAGCAGACGCGTGGGTGGTGCTGTGCGGGCAGAACTACCAGGAGGGCAAGTTCTTCTTCAACGGCGTGGAGTATGATCAATCAGCTGGGAGCCTGCCGGACAGCCTTCAGCTCACCATCAACGACATGGGCTGGGACCCCGGAAGTAATTACGGCTACTTCCTTGAGAGCTCGGACTGGGCGTTGAGCGAGGTAGCGATCTGGCGAGGAGCGTTGCGAGCAGATGAGCTGAGAGCCGTGTCGAGTCACTTCATGCAGAAGCTGTCTGCTGGCAGCTCCGCCCCCTACAACCACACCCTCAACGTCTCCTGCGGCAGCTCTACGGCAGCCATGAATAAGATGTCTCCTTACGTGTCAGACCTCGGCTGCTTCTTCAGCTCTCAGGTCTATCAGTCCACCTGCGACGCGAGCATGTTCGGAGCAAGTCGGGTGTGCGTGTGCTCGGCCCCGTGCCTGGAGAACTTCTACGGTAGCGACTGCTGCTGGCTTGTGCTCGCGCCTGACGCTCGAGACGCTCGCAGGTCAAGCCGACCAGTGCTTCCCATGTCCCTTCTACTCTCAGTCGCAGCCCGGCAGCTCCTCCATCCGCGACTGCTCCTGCGATCAAGGTAGCCCGCCTCAGCCGCCTCGGGCCTGCGAGGGGCGGGAGGACAAGGATCTGACGCTGCTTGCTGCTGCTCTAGGACGGTACCTCTACGTCAACTCCTCCGACGCTCCCTGGGGCCCCCAGGGCTCCTGCGACTCGTGCCCCGCCAACGCCTGGTCGCCTACCGGCAGCTCCTCGGTCAACCAGTGCCAGTGCATCGGCGGTAGGGCCTGAGCTTGCTCGTGCTGGCGCTGACGGCAAGCGGACGCGTAGGCTACTACCTGGATCAGGGGCCCTCCTGCTCCTCCTGCCCGTCAGGCCTCCTCTCGCCGTTCGCGAGCTCGTCGGTGGAGGACTGCATGTGCGAGGCAGGTGGGTGAAGCTCGCGAGCTCGCCTCGTCGTGCCACATGTGGGAGTGACAAGGTGGATGCAGGGAGCTACGGGTCAGCTGGGAACTGCTCGTCTTGTCCCGCCTTCAGCTCGTCGCGAGCTGGAAGCAGGTCGATCGAAGACTGCTTCTGTCATGCAGGCTTCGGCGTGAGAGCGACGGGGTACAGCAGGCAGGTCACGTCCCCTCACGACCAGTGCGAGCTGATCGTCGAGGAGCTGCTTCTGAGCGACACAGTCGGAGCCTCATGCTCGGCTACCTGCGAGTCCAACAGCCTGGCGTGTCTAGACGAGGCTCAGCCCTTCCTCCCTCAGCAAGACTTGTCTGCTCTTCTAGCTTCTTGGGGTGTCACTGTCTCCCAGATTGTCGGCACCAACAGCGCAGACGCTCCCTCCTACAACCCCGTCACAGGTCAAGTCTTCTACCGCAATGGCTTGCCTGGCACTTGTAGCGCCTCCAACGCCAACAACGTCCGAGTATGTCGATGCACGTGCGCCAACAACCAGTACGGTATGCTCCCTCCCGCCTCTCCCTCCTCCCGCTCTAGCGCTACCAGCAGCCCTCACACGCCCCGCAGGCAAGACAGGCAACTGCTCCTCGTGCCCCGCCCACAGCCAGTCCTCCTTCCAAGCTCAGGATCGGTCGAGCTGCATGTGCGACTCCGGTGACGCGGCTGGAGCCTGACGCTGCCGAGCTCTGACGGGCGTGTCTTGCTCCTGCAGGTTACTTCCTCAACGCCTCGCAGGGAGGCTGCAGCCCCTGCCCCAGCGGCACCTACGCGAGGAGGATGGAGTGGGTGGAGGGAGACTTCGGCACCAACGGGAGCATGGGCTGGAGGGGCGCGGACAAGACCTCGAGCTGCGGGGCATACGGCTCAGTGCTGGGAGGGCTCAACGTGCTGGGCGAGCACGCGAGCGTGAGCAAGACGTTCACGGGCTTGTGCGAGCATGGCCTCGTGTACGTCAAGATGCGACTGCTGCTCGTCGACCTGGTGCAGCCGGTGACGCTGCGTCTGTACGTGAACCGCCAGGAGGTCTGGAGCGAGACGGCGGGAGCCATGGCGTCCTGGCCGTCTGAGTGCGGGAAGAGCGACGGCGACGAGCTGATCGAGCGTGCGGTGCGAGTGTATCACACGGAAGACTACGTGGAGGCGATGATCCGAGTAGACTACGACTACTGGGAGGTGTCAGCTTCGAGCGCCAAGACGTTCTGGGGGCTCAAGGACTTCTCTCTCTCCATGCCATGCGCGAGCTCGACCTCAGCTGACTGCAGCATGACATCTCCGTCAGTGCAGTCATGCTCGGATGTCACGGGGAGCGGAGGCACATGCATGCAGGCAGGCGACTATCTCTACGTCTACTACACGAGTGCGCTGACGTGGTGGGGCGCGGAGTCGAAATGCAATGGGATAGGAAGAGAAGGACATCTGGCGTACTTTCCGGATATTCAGACGATCGCTGAAGTGACATCAGGCCTTGGAATGAGTTATATCACGTGGATCGGCCTTCGAACTCCAGCAGCATCTGAGGTTGACTTCCGTTGGGTGATTGGAGGATCTCCGAGCTTCACTAACTGGGATGCATCAAGACCTTCCGGGTACAGCCAGGGTGAAGTCGGAGTGATCATGACCGGTCAAGGGAGGTGGCAGTCATCACCGACCGGTGAAGGTCAAAGGCACCTTTGTAGCTATCCTACATGGATATGAGGCATCATGTCATGCTGTTATCTCATGCGACATGTGCATAGCATCATGCCATCTCCGTCAGTGCAGTCATGTTTGTATTACGTGTGGATCGGACTTCGAAGTCCAGCAGCATCAGCGTTTGACTTCCGTTGGGGTCATCGGAGGATCTCCGAGCTTTTGGGGAGTCAATGGTGTACCACCTTCCGGGTACAGTCAGTATGAGTATGGTGTTTACCAGGACGGTCAGGGGTCTTGGACGAGTGAAAGGATGATTTTTCCGTTTCGACGTCTATGCAGCTATCCGATCAAGATATGAGTTGGCATAGCAGGCTGCACTGGGAGCAGATATTCAATCTCATAATCACTTTTACATCTGCTCTAATAACACTTGCATCCAATCAAATACAAGACGTTTGACATAGTGCAAGACCAAACATCGTTCTAGTGCCCCATGTCAATCCAACTTGACCTTGTTTCTGCTGTGTAAGTCTCCGTCGGTCTGACCTCTCACCCTCCTTCAACCAATTGCTTCACTTCTTCATTCCCATCGCCAACGTCGTTGTCTCGATATCTCCTCTCTCACCTCCTAGAGGCCTTGGCTACTGACTCATGCAGACAGACAGGTTCCCCTCCCCTCCTCTAGCGCATCAGCACAGGCTGACATTGCGACTCCGGTGACGCGGCTGGAGCCTGACGCTGCCGAGCTCTGACGGGCGTGTCTTGCTCCTGCAGGTTACTTCCTCAACGCCTCGCAGGGAGGCTGCAGCCCCTGCCCCAGCGGCACCTACGCGAGGAGGATGGAGTGGGTGGAGGGAGACTTCGGCACCAACGGGAGCATGGGCTGGAGGGGCGCGGACAAGACCTCGAGCTGCGGGGCATACGGCTCAGTGCTGGGAGGGCTCAACGTGCTGGGCGAGCACGCGAGCGTGAGCAAGACGTTCACGGGCTTGTGCGAGCATGGCCTCGTGTACGTCAAGATGCGACTGCTGCTCGTCGACCTGGTGCAGCCGGTGACGCTGCGTCTGTACGTGAGGCGACGAGCTGATCGAGTGTGCTTATGTTTACGTCTACTACCGCAAGGATGATCTGACATGGTGGGACGGGGAGTCGAGGTGCAATGGGATAGGAAGAGAAGGACATCTGGCGTACTTCCCGGATAGTGAGACATACCTCGATGTGACATCTCGTCTCGGAGTGAGCGAGTCATTATGTGTGGATCGGACAGAAAACTTCGAAGTCCAGCAGCATCAGAGATGGGCTACCGATGGCCTAGCAGAGGATCTTCGAGCTTCACCAACTGGGATGTACCTTCAAGACCTTCCGGGTACAGGCAGAGTGAGGTCGGAGTGAGGTTGTACTATCGAGCAGCAGCATCGTCCTGTGAGGAACAAGTTTTATTGACTGAAAAAGGAACAAGCGCAGGATTGGTTTCTTGCCAACCTCCCGTACCCCAGTTAAGTCATACGTAACGACGGGTACTTATACTACCCCTATACTATTTGCAAGATATTTGCAACTCATTATGGAAGCTTCGCTGGCGTATGAGTAGGCAGATGGGGCAGGGGCAGAATGCGAGGAAAATGAGAGAGGGAGGGAGGGAGGGAGGGAGGGAGGGA